CGGTAAAATGAAAATAACTGTAGACGTATACGGTCGTGATAATAACATTGATCTTAAAGAAGTTCTATATGTCGAGGACTTGCGTACAAGTCTACTTTCTGTATCAAAAATAGTAGACAGCGGATATGAAGTGCATTTTCGCCCTTCAGATGCAATCGTATTGGACAAATATCAGAAGGTTATAACTCGAGCGAAAAGATGTGGAAATTTTTTTATTGTTGAAAATAAAAATCATTTTGCACAAGTTGCTGAAGAAAAATGTGACATTGAAAAGTGGCACCAGAAAATGGGCCACATAAATGAAAACGATCTTAAAAAATTGGCTAGTAATAACCTAGTACACGGATTAAAATTAAATCCTAAACAAAAACTTCCGACTTGCGAAATTTGTATTAGTGAAAAACAAATACAAAAACCATTTCCTAAGAGTAAAGAAACTAGAACAAGTGACTTATTAGAAATCGTGCATAGTGATGTGTGCGGACCAATGAGAACAGCATCAAATTCGGATGCAAAATATTTCGTAACATTTATTGATGACAAATCACGCTATTGTCATGTATATTTTATAAAACAAAAATCCGATGTATTAAATGTATTTAAGCAATACAAAAGAGCAGTAGAAACATTTACGGGTAAACGAATTAAGGCTTTACAATCAGACAATGGTAAAGAATACGTTAATTCTGAATTTAATTTATTCTTGAGGAAATTTGGTATACAAAGACGCTTAACTGCTCCATATACGCCGGAGCAAAATGGTATTGCTGAACGTAAAAACAGAACTCTAGTTGAAATGGCCCGTTGCATGATGAAACAAGCTGAAGTTCCGCCAAATTTTTGGGCAGAGGCCATAAATACAGCGTGCTATATTCGGAATAGGTGTCCTACAAAAGCATTGAACGGTGTAGTACCGCACAAGTTGTGGACTGGTAAAATGCCAACTATTGTACATTTTCAAGTATTTGGCTCTAAAGCATATGTCCTAAAAAAGGATAAGACTAGAGATAAATTCGATTCTAAGTCAGAACCTTACATGTTTGTTGGATATTCAAACGAAGCAAAAGCCTATCGGCTGTGGTCACCTACAAAACGAAATATAACAATAAGTCGTGATGTCGTGTTCGTAAACAAAAATATCTATCATAATAAATACGAAAACATTTATATTAACAATGAAAATGACTGCCAAACAAATGATTATATCGATATTGCGTTCGAAAATTCTGAAAATCAGAAACCGTCGGTCAATCCGAAAATTGTAGAAAATACAGATACGCGAGAAGAAAACTCCATTCGTAGAAGAGGTCGCCCGAGACTTATTCGCACAAATTCACGCGGTAGGCCTCGAAAAGAATATTACACGTCAAATCGGAATGGTGAAGAATCATCCAACGAAGACGAAAATACAAGTTCAGTAAGAAAAATTGCTGATAAAAACCATTCAGATGATGAACCTGACAACAACGTTTTTGAAGATTGTGAAATGGCGTTTCTCACTACATATCAAACTCCAGTAACGATTTTGGAGGCACTTGAAAGCGATGAAACAAATTCCTGGTCAAAAGCGCTAGAAGACGAAATAGTGGCACAACTAAAGAATAAAACATGGGAAGTGGTCGAAAGACCGAAATCACGAAAAGTTATTGGGAATAGATTCGTGCTTCGAACTAAAGATGACGGAAAACAGAAAGTACGATTAGTAGCGAAGGGTTTTGCACAACGACCAGGTGAAGACTTTCATGATACGTTTTCTCCAGTCGCTCGTTCAACATCTATAAGACTACTTGCGGCACTGGCAGCAAAAATGGATTTGGAGATCCATCAGATGGATGTCATTACAGCATACCTAAATGGAGAGATCGAAGAGAGTGTCTTCATGGAAATTCCCGATTATCTTATACCATTCCTGAACAAAGTTGTTTCATCAAAACCAGTGGGAAAAACTTCAACAATATTGTGTGGAAAAGTTAAAGAAACAGCGCAGCATTGGTTAAAGGCGATTAAATCAAGTAAGTCACCTGTATGTTTATTAAAGAAAGCTCTTTATGGACTCCGTCAGTCTGGGCTATCATGGTACATGAAATTGACAAAGAAACTACAGAATATGGGTCTAAGTGCAGTACAACAGGATCCTTGTGTATTCACTAAGCGAGAAGGCAACGACATTGTTTTGATGACAATATATGTAGATGATTTACTAATAGCGTCCAATAATAAGTTTCGTATAAAAGAAATAAAGGCTGCACTTGCGAATGATTTCGAAATGAAGGATTTGGGAATAGTAAGTAATTGTCTTGGCATCGAGTTTCATCAAAATTTAAGCAAGCATCAAGTTTTTCTTTCACAAGAGAAGTATGCAAAAAGCATCATTGAAAAGTTCAATATGAAAGACTGTAAACCAGTGAAGACTCCCATAGAATTGAACATTAAGTTAACGAAACCAACAAAAATTGATGAAGGTGTTATGAAGATGTATCCCTATCAAAGCTTGATAGGAGCATTAATGTACTTAGCTGTCACAACTCGACCTGATATTGCGTTTGCTGTAAACTTTCTTAGCCAGTTCAATTCAAATTATAACGTGGAACATTGGAAAGCAGCAAAACGAATTCTAAGATACCTTAAAGGTACAAGCAACTATGGTCTATTGTATGAGAAAAACAATGAAGAATTGTATGGTCTGGTTGACGCTGATTGGGGCGCTGACTTAAACGATAGACGTTCATATTCAGGGTATGCGTTCATTATATCAGGAGCAGCGATATGTTGGGAAGCTCGAAAGCAACGTACAGTAGCGCTTTCAAGCACTGAATCAGAATATATGGCCATATCTGAGGCCACAAAAGAAGCGTTATACCTAAAGGCAATCCTTGATGATGTTGGCATTACAAGTAAGACAATTGAAATCTTTAATGATAATCAAAGCGCTCAAAAATTAACGGAAAGCTTCAGGTATCATCCACGGACAAAGCACATTGATATTCGTTATCACTTTATTCGCAGCAAGGTTAACGACGGCACTGTTAAAATCAAATATATGCCAACAGAAGAAATGCCCGCAGACGTCCTTACCAAAGGACTCACTACAGAAAAGCATGTTAATTGCTTACGGAAATTAGGAATGAAATATTAAAGTCATATTTTACACATAATAAAAGCACTTTAAGAGGGGGTGTTGTTATGTAAAGTACTTTTTTAAATATTAATTGCCTGGCAACTCTGGCCTGTCATTATTCTATATTCCTTTTGTAATTATTATTCATTATTCATTTTTAGTATAGTTAATAAAGCGAAGTAAAGAACATGTTAAAAATACATCGGACCGTGTTTCACTTTTGCTAAAAATATATAATACTTTTAATGTTATTAGTAATCACATAAGATCAAAACAATAATAAAATAAAATATGGCAATTAAAATGAAAATTTAACAAATACTCAGAAGGCCAGCTTATTGCTGGTGATTATACAATCTATACTGTAAAGGATTTCTTTCATCTGCAACATCAACCTGCAGATTAGATAAAGAAGCATTATAGCTTAAATCCCATATGGGATCAATAGACAGTCTCAATATAGAGCTATCTATTTGCCGATGATACTTACTTGTTTATTGTTTTCAAACTGATTTACAAAAGTTAGTATTTTAAAAAGATACTTGATAAATAATAAAATTTTTGGTGTGCACTGTTCTTTAAAACGTTATTCATATAAGATTATATGACTCCCTATATGCTGATTATTGTTTATTCGGCGAAAATTTGGTGTGAATATAAATTTGTTCTAGATTGCAGTTCTAGATATAGGCTAGAATTTACTATGATATTTTCTGTCCCAATTAGAGATGTTGCATCCTTGCCTGAAAAAACAAAATTTTATCTTCAGAATAAATTTATACAAATATTTTTAACAACTAGAATTTGTTTAAAGTATGAATTATGTCTACTAAAGTACTTATTTACACGAAATTAATTAAAACTTGTTTATAAAGGGCATTATGCACCAAAAACAAAAAAATTGTGTATGTGAACATTTTAAAATAGTATTCAAAAATTAGTAAATTAAAGATAAAATACTAATAAGGAAGCTCATATTATATTTATATTAAGAGAAAGAAACTAATTGGAATTTAAATTTTGTAAATTTTATTAATAAGTTTATTAATAATTAGTTCTAATATATTTTTAAAAAATATTTAAAGGGTATACATATTAATAAAACTATACCTTATTGAAGTTTTAAAAAGAGTTAGACAAAGCGGATGTTAGGAATCGATAAGGAGTTATCCGATCGTAATCTAGACGATTGATCATCTTACCATGAACAGCTGCGTTTCCCATGTCTATGCTTTATTTCTTACTAACACTTTACTTAATTTTGATTTCAATTACATATCATAAAAATATAATTAGTTTCGAAAAAAAGACCAAAATGAATTTTTCCTGTCATATTAATAATACATTATATTCTTTTTTATTATATATTTCGAGTGAATAAACTTGAAATGAGTTAACATACAGTTTTGAATATCCCTAACTTATGTAGAAGAAATATAATTCTATATACTTTTTTTGTAATGGCAACCTTTTTTCGAACATAATTTGCAAGTGCAGAAGTTGAGGTGTTGTATATATATATTTATTTTAATATAAAATATTTAAATATTATATTAACAAACAGCTAACAAAATATATCATATGAAGGAACGCTTTGTAAATTTAATATATTTTTCACACTTTCTGAGCTCATTTAGATTAATTTTTAATTTACACGTTTTAGGTAGCATAACAACAACAACAATAACAACAAATACAATATATATAAAAAATGATAGTATTTTAAAAAATATTTCTCAATTTATAAATTCCTCTCTTTTACAAAGTATTTATATATAACAATAATATCCATACATAGATATATTGAACTATTTACAATATTTAATTTTTCAAGTTTTATTTATTTTAAACTAATTTATTTAAAATATTTTTTCTCTTCCAGATAACACCAGTAAAACGTACAACAATAAACGTTAACAAAACCACAAAGCACAATGGCCTTAATTATGAAATACTACGATAATATACATAGATATATGGAAACACATGGCGGTAAGTTCAATGGAACAATATGGATAGCAAAAGCTTTGTTTTGTTTTTTCTTCAAATTGAAGATTTGAGACAAGGTTCAAGTTAACGACCAAAAAGCCATAAATTTAATTATCTCAAAAATGTTTTTGTTTAAAAAAGTCTAAATTATTTGTAAAGTACACATGTTCAGGAATCTCCAGTGTCATGCTATCTATTTATTGCTCGCTCTCTCTCTCTCTCTCTCTATCTATCTATCTATCTATCTATCTATCTATCTATCTATCTCTCTATCTTCCTCTCGTTCTCATTATATATCGTTTAAAATTTCTATTCAACATGCCAAGCCATTCAATAAATATAGTATATAGGGATTCACTATAAATCTACTATAATGTCATTGTGTTAATTTGCGTAACCTTGAATTATTATGTTTACAAATAAAAAATTAAAATTTTGTAAAATTTGACACTTGGCCACTAATTACGCTACAACAGCCAGATCATTAGCGAACTGCATTTGGGAAAATCATTTTCATTTAAAATTATATTTAACATCAGCACGTGTATACCAAACTCTTAATATATTTATACATGTAAAATAGCTTTTACAAAAACGCTACAAACATAAAAAGTCAATTAAATGTAAAACTTTGTATCTTTACCAAAGTTCAATCTCTCATCTTATCTTATCTAATCCGTCATGTCCCAATTTTATATATCCACAACAGTTAAAAACATCCCCGCATATGACCGAACCGTCAACAAGCGATAATAATAAACTATTTACGTAGTTTAACTGAGAGCCAATTAAATCAATTTGATTAATTTATCATTTATAATTCAAAATATTTTATAGGAACTAATTAAATTTTAGATTATCTAATTGACTGACAGACTTTGCTACTGACTAACAAAGTAGTTTGTAGGTATATATATATGTATATATATTATATATATGTAGGTCACAATGTTTTTTATTTCACAGAGTAGTAATTTATAAAAATAATATATTATCTGTTGATTAATTTTCCTAGGTAGATAACATAAAAGTGACTCAATTTGTTTACTTAATTTAATATAATTTTATTACTACTTGGATTTTGTAAGAGTACGCTGAAAGCAGACATGTTCAGATTCTGGAAAATTTAAATTAAGTAATAAAAACATTAAAAAGGTACTTAATCTTATACCTACTTATATACTTTTGAACAGAAAAGAGAAGAACTTGAAAAGCTTAGTTTTCATTATGAATAACATAAATTTTAAAGATAAGAAACTTATCTTAAAGATGCATATATTAACTTATCTCAAATATGCATCTTTTTGTCAAATATTTATTCAGTATCTTTCTAAATGTTCATTAAACCATATTTTTAAAACAAAGCTATAGTAAAGAAAAATATTAACCATGGATATAGATTTTGATTATTATTGGGAAATCAGTTTTATTATTGGGAAATTAGTTTTTTTAGTGGGAGATTTTAAGTTAAGTGAAAGAAGTCAATAAAGTCAAATTCTTTTCAATTAGGTATAAAATGTATGGATGTATGGCACTTCACAATCAATTGAACTGTATTCGAGGGGATTGATTACACCTTGATAATGTACAGGCAATACAAAAAATGTGGTGCACTGCAAAAACACTGGCGAAAAAAATATTTTTTAATATATCCCCAGCACACTTACCATAATGCTGGTTACGCCACTGACCGACTAATGTGATGTGTCAATGTTAAAATATATTGACTAATGCACCACACAACTAATATACCAATGTTTCTATCTTGAGCATTAGCCAGCTTTCAAAAAACGGGGCTAAGCCAAGGGAAATATCTTTCTATAGACCAGTATTTTGTAAGAACTAATATTGTTTTAGCTATTCCTCTCTTATTCCTGTAAATTATCACTACTTTTTAAACTGGAGTATATAGATTATATTATCTTGAACTGGCTATAGAAATATTAAAATATGTTTTTTGATTTTCACCGCGATTAGGTTATTAGATGTTAAATAAAGGACCGAAGCGTGGTGAAAATCAAAAAACTTGTTAATAAATTGTTATATTAATATCAAAATGATAACAGAATAATATCCAATTATTATTAATAGTATAAATCTTTGCCTAAGTTAAGAAGTAGTATATATCTAAAGTAGGAATAGATTTCACAGATCATATTGGTCCCTTATAGACCACTAGCTGAAATCTTTTCAGAATTCGTTTCTCAGAGTGATAGTAAGTTGAAGTCTAACACGAATCAACCTATTGAAAAAAACCTTAGATAAAACATCTGATACTCGCATAAGATGAAACTACCAAATAACCTCTTCATATATCTGTTTTAAAATTATTTTATTGAAAAAATATGAAATAAGATAAATAAATTTTAAAAATTATTATCCTCAAGTAAAATTTATAAGAAACAAAAAAATCAACAACAAATTTTAAAATGAAATATTTGGCACTTTAATGTTTCACGTGTTGGGAATTCGCAATCGCCCATTGATTATTGAATCACGAAATGTTTGTTATCTTCGCAACATTACTGTCTAGTAAATAATTTGATAGCACGTAAACCGAGAGATGTGGACTTGTGCAAATCAGGTACTGACATTGGTCACTGTCAAAAATTATGGCAAAGCAAAATGTTTTGAATGCGAAATGAAAGAAAACGTATCAATTTTTATGATTTAACATGATTGATTTGAATAAATATTTTAATAAACAAAATCGAACGGAATCTGTAAACAAATACAGGGTGATTCATGTGAGCTTATGTATTTGCTACTATATTTATTTCAAAAAACTATCAAAAATGTATTTAATTTTAAATTCAAAGTAATAACAAAATAAGAACTTAAATTATATATACAAAATTTAGAGAATTAATAGTTTTAGTTCAATGATTGGTTTTTTTAATTAATTTAAAATAGAGAGAAAACAGAAAGTTTTGCTGCTTAAATTATATTTTTTTTTTATGTAGAGAGATTTTTATAATATTCAAATATTTAAATAACGAATATTTTGGATATACATTCCCTACATATATAGAGATTTACAGAGTATTTTGAATTTTAAATATTATTCGTTTAGGTTATTAATATGTTAAAAGCCGACTAGAAATTTGTTAGTGTCTTAATGAAGTTAGCGATATTTTTTATATACGATGATTAGTAGCTATATTAAATTTAAGTAACAAATTTTAAAACAAATAAATACATACTTGCTCTGTCCCGAACGGATTTGGTGAGCTTCTAATGAATTAGATCCAAAATTTCTTGAAACCCGGTCTACAACGACAATATCACAGCTGATATTTATATTACATTTTTTTGCTCTACAATATCAACATTATTTATTTCATATATAGCTAATAATTACATTCATATTATTTTCCACACATCTTGCAACACGATTAATTATAATTATGAGTTTTCTTCCATTTTTACTACACTTCAAAACGTAAATTTAGATTTAAATGTATTAAGAAGTTTATTTATATACTCAAATTTCCTTGTATTATAATCTAAAAAAATATTTTTAACAAATATCAGTTCAAAAACATTTCTTAACAATTGTTATTGCTTATTAGATGTTTATGTTAAGCAATAATTTTCATGATAAACCTTTAAACTATGTATTTTTTTATTTTTTTTTAAAATTTAAAATTGTGCAAATAATTACTCACATATATGCAAAATTTATATAATAATATTAGTTAACTTTACTTTACTAATATGTTACGGTATATTATTTTTACAGATTCAAGGACAAAGGATTGGCCAATGATGTCATCACCATTTCCAACATTATTAGTATGCCTCACATATGTTTATATAGTCAAGGTAATTGAAACACTGACAATGAAATGCCAACAATTCTAAGGATAAGTGATTAAGAATCACTCTTCATATTAAATAGTTGTAATAATGAATTGGTTTTTGGGTGTTAATAAGAAACTCCAAAAGCAAATCGAATCAATCTATTTCCTAACAAAACGAAAATGTTTATTAAATATGTATATATCTCATTAATACCTTATATAAATCAAACTAAATTTATTAATATTTAATAAGATAGCTTTTAAAATAGAAATCTTAATTAAGTGTAAATATATTTAAGTCATTATATCAGAAATCTCAAATATTTAAACAGTATAATTATGCACTAGTAAGTGTATTTAAAAATAAATTGTTAGTTGTTAGTTTAGTATAATTTATTAGTTACTAAATGGTGTTCATTTGCATATATTCTAAAGTACTGAAATTTCAAAAATTAGGAAATTTAGTATGATTGTGGATGCATTGAATAAACTTAACCACGTGAATATAAATTCTATATTTTGTCAATAATATATATGAATATTACTTAGAATTATAGACCTATAGAAAAATGCATTTTAGAAACATGGAAATGAAGAAACACTTCATCTTTTACGCAAACATTGCGTTTCATAAGTTTTCTCAGTACGCAAAAAAAATGCCAATAATTTAAGTTTAATCTGTTGACGCAGTTAAATTAGTGTCATATCCGCTATGAATAGCGAATTTAAAACTATACATATAAAGTTAGATGATATGTTATTCTTTATCAGGTATATATGAATTATTGATCAATTTGTTTATAGTGAATTTTTTCATGTAGTCGTCATTTTCCTAAAGCCAAACCTATGTTTTAATATTAACTCGTAAAAAAGTATTAGAATAATTTTAGGAAGGCACATATTAATGTTTTGCTTTTATCAAATCATATTTGGGAAAACTAATATTCCATTTATGCCCGCGAAATAGGATTAACATACTTGGATCAAATGAACCTTTGAATTACGTTTATTATGCATTCGTGATTCTATAGAAAATATCAATTTTCATATTTAAATAAACTAAGAAACTTAGTTTAATATTATCACTAATACTAAAACTTACGGGAAAAAAAAAATTATTTATTAAAAACAATTATTTGATATTTTACCAATTTTATATAACAAAATTATTATATCAAGTTGACGCACATTTTACCATGGCAGTTTGATTAAAATGTGTTAGATATAGGGTTTTCGTTTGTACGCATATCACAAAAGAACAACCGTTTATTTTAAAAATAATACTTGAAACAACAACATTGCTGGCTTATTTAGTTCAACCTTTTTGAAACTGTTTAATTAATAACATAAGCAACTAAAATCACATGGTTGCCAAGACTAAAAATTCGACTATTGTGAACGAGTTTTGGAAGTTTATACGAAATTTCCAGTTAACTGTCAATGAATGATTTCGTTAATTATTTCGTGTCTTATTGTTCGTAACGAATACGTAATTTTTACTATTTATTATGAAATAAGGGCATGAAAAATTTTATTTTATTCAAAATCATATGAAAAAAATATTCTCACCAATAATCACAAAGATTTGTTATTTATTTTTGAAATTTCAACTTTAAATTTTATTACATATTACAATCCTAACTGAATCTCCATTTTGTCCAGAGTTGCCATCGAAAGTAATGCTTATTCTATTTGTTCTTTTGCGACATGCTTACAAAAGAAAAGCCCTAGTGTTGTTGTTTCATGTTATTTTCAAAATAAGCAGTTGTTCTTTTGTGATATGTTTACAAAAGAAAAGGCCTGTTATCAGGATAAATGCATTTAAATTATTAATTTATCTATAGGATTCTATAGGATTTTTATCCTAAAAACTTCAAATTTCAAATTGTAGTTGACTAATTTCTTGAACTGGAATAGATAGATCAATTAATAATATTTTTAACAGAAGTGTACTTGGGAAAGGGCCTCTTGTCTAAGCACTGAAGATGTTAAATAAGTTGCAGACTTAGTATCTGAACAAAAATAGAATGCGAATTAATAATACTTCCTGAAATTCAATTGGGGTACTATATTGGCATTAGGCCTTTTCCGTAAAATCTTGTGAGTTTTCTGACTAGTGGAATAAACTATTCTCTGTATCTACTGCCTAAAATATAGTAAATAAAGCAGATTACATACTAAAAGTAATTATTTTCTTAAAATTTTTTTAATTTAATTAAGTTTCTATTTATTAATAAAATAATTTTTCTAAGTAAATTTTAATTTTTTTATATTTTTAATAAAAATATCTGTACTTAATTACAATTTTGGTAATTATCAGCCTTGATCCATATCAAAACAACACATCCTAAATTACATAATCTATACACAAATATTTAAAACCACATATTATATTAAATTATTATATATACCAAGTAATAAGAGTTGCTATAATACTGTATTTTTCTTAGCATAACGTACCAATAGTTTTGTTTTTTTAACCTAAACTATTATATTAAATTTAATTCTCTAATTTGAAGTGTTAAATTACAAATTTAAAGTGTACATTAGAAATTAAAGAAACTAATTAATTGCTTCAGTGTTTCATTGGTATTCGATATATTGTACAATTTTGTTATAGAGCATATGATCGTTAAACAATAATACATTAGTTACCCAGATGATGAAGATCATGATAATTGGATGTGCACGCTCTTCCATTACAACACTGTAGTTTTAACGTATTTTTGACTATTTTTAACTGTCAAATAAAATATTACTTTGATATATAGAAATATTTAGTTCATACACTATATACATATACAATATAAAGAGGTTTTTCGAACAGTAGTGAACTACAATCGAAATTCATTTTATATTATTTTAATTAATTGAATTTATGACTGACCATACAGATGTTTGGAGTATTGCCAAATACCCATCATCGGTAGTCTTGGAAATAATTATTGTATTTAATTATTCATAAATAATTTTTTTTGAGACTGCAAGTACCAGGAATCGAACTCATGTCCTGCCAAATTTGAAACTCAGAGTTAGCGCTCCTTAACCAACTGACCCAAAGCCTTATTTGAGTTTTAAAGGCTTTTTTGTTGTGACTACAATAAATGGCATTAAATGTCAAAAGTCAATTTACATAATTCTTTTAAATATACCGCTAAATAAATGCAGTGCATGAAATCCTTAAGAAAATTTGATTTAGCTCAAATTAACTAAACTTTTATACTTCTTTAGGCTCCGTGCGATTTAAACTAAATTGCAGCAAAAATTAACTAAATTCTTCTGATTGCGATTTAAACTAAATTGCAGCAAAAATTAACTAAATTCTTCTGATAAGGCAATGGAAAGTCAAACTCTTTTGTTCAAAGACCAAATTCAAACAAATTTGCGTCTTAACTATTTAATATTTTCGTAAGCTGTTTAGTAATAAATTAGATAATGCTTATGAAACACAACATTCATCATAAAAAAATTAATTATGTTTAGTTCGAACTTTTAACAGTATGGCACTATGACCTTTTGTATATATTTTCTTAATTGTATGAGTCTTTATCATGCTTATGTAAATATTTGTTTCTTATAGTTTTACCAGTTTCATTTAATAATGTAAGCATATATTTGATAATATTAAACATAAAAATACTATAGGTGATTCTAAAAAGCTGATCGTCTATTTTATTTAAAATAAATATTATTTTATTCTAAATTATTGACATTTTGCGTGCACCTCATGCAATTTAGTACACACCATTCAATTCGCACACTTATATGCACTATTTGACTAAATAAATGCGGTACCAAAAAATTCATTAAGTTTCGTCAATTTGATTCAACGCACACACCGCTATATTAGGCTTCCTTTATTCATTTATTATTTTCTTTCAGTAATATTTATTTAATATTTAATTAAAGAAATTAATTTTTTTTATAATTATTTTTATTACTCATAACAAATTTGTAAAATTATAAATTGTTTATGTTGTCTGCAATTTCTATTTTGTTAAATATTTTGATAAGGCAACTTTATGATGAATCTTATCTGAAATGCCAAATTGATTAGTGCTGACACATGACAATTTTAGTTCGTAATAAAACTAATATATAATAAAAATTATTTACGATAAAGAAAAAATTAATTAAAAAATTGTAAAAGAACCCAAAAAAACGTGTTTTCTATATATGTCTACTAAAAATGTATTATATATTAAAACGAACATATCATTTTAAATTTGCTACTAACCTGCATTACCGCACAAATAGGCTTTTATATTTTTTGATAAAAGCTTAAATGAATATCCATATAATTTTTAACACCTGCAAGTACTTCAAAGAGGTTTGACTTAATTCCCTGATTTAGTGGTTTAAAGCAGATATGGTTTATGGGTAATTTTTTTATAAATTTGATTAGAGCCGTAGATAAGCCGTAGAAAATACTTGTAAAACATAACTTATATACAGTTAGATAGATTTTAGTCATAAATAATATAAGGCTAATATTATATATAATGTTATATATTTAAAAACTCTATAAATATTTGATACTGATTAATATATTACCTAACATCCATAATTGAAGGAAAATTTTTTAAGTATTTTATTTGAATTATCATATGTACACACACATATATATATTTAATTAACTTTGTTTGTATTATTTTTATTCATAGGTGCTTGGACCACGATTAATGGAAAATCGTAAACCATTCCGATTACAAAACACATTGGTAGTATATAATGCAATACAGGTGATATTCAGCGCATGGCTATTTTATGAGGTGTGTATACTTTCTAATTATGAAATTTCAATCTAAACTCAAATTTCAGCTCATACTTTGCTAATAGCGGATACTCTACATACTAAAAGTTCTTCAAATTGTTGAAATTATTGTGTTTTTTAGTTTGTACCAATAACGATTGATAATAAATTTTTCCCTTTGGCTTCTTAAAATTTAAAAAAAAAAATGAGAAAACATAAATAATTTTTAAAAACAAAAAATGTAATTTTTCAGTCGTTCTTTGTTGTACATCATATTTTATTTATCATTATAAACACTTTTAACATATTTGTTTAAATTTAATTCCTCTCAGCTACAGCTGCTTAAACTATCTATTTCTAATGTGTTCATCCTGCGTTAATATTTGTTAATCGCTGTTATTTTATCAACTGTCATCATTTCCAATATAATTTGTATTCTTTTTTTAATTTTGTATTATTTTATTTTATTATAAATTTACACTTATATTATTATATTATTTGTTTTTTATTATTATATATTTTTTAAAACACAACTATTAAATATTTGCCGCATTTTAGTGTTTAATGGGCGGCTGGTGGGGTCATTACAGTTTTCGTTGTCAGCCTGTGGATTATAGTGATAGTCCCGTCACAAAGAGAGTAAGTCCAAATAAGATATTAAAATACTTTTCCTAAGTATTTTAAGGATTGCCGGCAAAGACATGCGATTAAGAAAAGAAAGAAATTAAATTATTAAAACGATCAACTGTTCTTTCCTATGGGAATATATGCTGCGCACTCTCGGAACGAAATTATTGACTCCAAAAGGGCTCAAATAAAATAGAACATACTACATACAATCATCATAACGATATAGCTTTGCTTCTTCTCATTTCAAAGTTAAATACTACAAAATCTTAAATTGAAAATGAAATTTCAAATTTTTGTAGTAAAAATGTTTCTCATCATTTGCAATAAAAATTAAAAGTCACCTGTAATTTCGATTTAATGTCATAACTGTCAGGTGCAGATTGCATCATTTTTTTGTAAAAATTAAAATATTTTCATCATCATGATTTTATATATTAAGACCTAACAAATTTTTTTAACTGAAATAAGTGTAGTTCTAGCAAGCGTTCTAAAACTGAAGTGAAGTGAAGTGAGCAGCTTAACTATCCAATACAGATAAATACAAAACTCACTCACACTATTCCTTCGCTGCTTTCTTTTTATAATTATCTATTTTTAACATAAAAACATATTTTTAATATTAATATTTTTTTTTTTATTAAACATTAAATTAAATTTATTTAATAATCGTATCGCTATGCTTAATGCAATTCTCGTGGTCCATTTTATAAAGTATTGATACTTAGACATCTTCAGTTAATAGTTTTTCTATATGTGAATAATAAAACAAATTTCTTTCATACTAATTTTTTAATAATCAATTTCAGAAGTTTTAAAATAATTAAAATTTAATGTGAAATCAATAAATTAAAGCTAATATATACAAATGTATTCGAAAAATTGATTATTTGCGAAACTGCTTATTTGATTAATAAACTTCATTTAAAAACAAACCATAACCGACCATAACTAAATTTACTTAAATATTTCCCTAATGCTATATTTCTTAACATAGAACGTACGCCTCACAGATTAGGTTGAGTTTGAAATTAGGTTAAAGAAGACATTAATTTGCATTATAATTTCACAAACTAAGATAGGATTGTTAGTGCAAAGGAGAAAGCATTGTATGGGAAAAGTTCCCAACGCTCTTTGGTTATGTTACGTAGAGGAGACATCGAAATATTTTAAATCCTTAAGTTAGGTGTATTAAAAAAAAATTAAGAAACGCTGAGTCTGATCACTGAAGAGAATTTGATAATTCAGTGGAAAAATTATAATCATTTTTATAGTAATTTACCAGAATTTTAACATGTTCTGTGGTTGTTAAACGGTTTATATTGTAAAATAGTTAACGTTAAATGAAAATTATGTTGTCTTAGATGGTAATTTTGTTTGACACCTATCACTAAAACAGTACTGCCAAATCAGGACTTAAAAAAAAACCCTTTATTTAATTATCTGTATATTTTGTTTATATGTATGATATTTGTAAAATTTGGACCACAGAAAAACTGTATTAAACTTTTTTTTTAAATTATTTGCAAGTTGTGTGCTTAAAATTTTAATCATACGCATCTTCAGATATCAAGTGTGTGGCTTTAAATAATATATAAAAAAATTTTAAATATTTTATACATTTAGCTTAAGAGCTAAAGAGGGACATTTATTTTCAATAAGGAAAAAGTGATGGATTTCACTTAAAGATATCAATCAAAAATCAATCATCAATACATTGTTTCATCGTTCGAAATCATTTTCAATCAAAATCGTCAAAAATGAAATACACAAAACAAAAATATTTTCTACATTTGCAGATAGGTATATCCGGTTGGCTAACAGGACATTATAACTTCCGATGTCAGCCAGTTGACTATAGCAATAACCCTAGAACATTAAGGGTACGTGATAACAATTTTATACGAAGAAACAGTGAATTTCTTTATTTAGTAACTGATTTTTGTTGAACTTTTTTGGTTAACTGCCAAATTTTTTGCACGGCAGTTTGCTTATCTCCCAAAAGCCTGCATGTTTGTTCCAACCCTTTCCATGTAAAAATTTATTTTTATTATATAAATTTTAATTTTTTGTCCTTTTATTTTAAATGAAATAATTTTAATTGTAACTAACATAAAAACTTTTGCCAAATATAAAGAAGATGTGAAATTATGTTTCGCTCTGACTGAACAGTCCTATTTCGCACCTATTTTTAGTTTATAATTTAAAAAAATTTAAAAAATTTAAAATAATAAGAGTTATGAAACAAAAAATATGAAAAATTGTAAATATATATAAGTAATTTAATTTTGTACTGGTGCGAGTTTAAAATTTTAAAATATTAATATTTAATACTTAATTGGTTTTTTTTATTAATTTTTATTTCTTTATTTTTTGATATATATAAACAATAATTTAAAAAATTTTCTTTTGTATATAAATTTTATATTGCATGGTTTAATAATTTTTTGATTAATTGTAAATTCTTTTATAATTTTAATTAAGTGCTGGTAAATATATATATGATTTTTTTTAATTTTTTAAATATTTCGAGAGAGCCGCAGTTTTTGAATATATTTTAAAATAAAATATAAAAAAAGTTTTTTCTTCAAGTTGCAATTAATATTCAATATTGTTTTAAAGTTTTGTATCAGTTTTATAGTGTATTAATTTATTAATTCATTATTTAGTTTTTGCAAAATACGATTTTATTTATGCACGTCTTTATAATTTTATTTAAAGTAAAAATAAATGTTATTGTGTTACTAAAGTATAAAAATAAACTTTTAATACAATAATAAAACATTAAAATATTTGCATATTTTTTTATTTTTAAATACTTAATGTATTTATGATAAAAAAAACTATCAAATTAAATTTTTTATTAAATCCTAGAAAATTCTATAATAAATTGTAAATTATTTATTTTTAAAATTTCATTGATTAAATTCAAAAATTTATAATAAAATTGTATCGTATATTAATTTCTGTATTAATCTGTACTAATTTAAATATAATACAGATTAAATTAATTCATATAAAGTTTATTTTTAAAAATACATATGAGCACAGAATATTGTATATCACATAATATTATATCTATAATACTTAATAATGATATTAATATAAAATGTAACAATTTCGTTTATTTCTGCTTTTATAAATTTACTATTTTTTAAAATATTTCCTGTATATTAATATGTAATTTTATATACTTATCGCTGCTGAAAATAGATGGTTCATGCCTGTTGGTGGTACTACTTCTCTAAGTTTACTGAATTCTTGGACACAGTAAGTATAAATTTTAATATAAAATTTAAATAGTTTTTTAAGTAATCAATCTATAAGTCAAAAGTAAAAGTAAAAGTATGAAATAATTTACAAAAAAAATAAAATTATTAAATAGTTTAGTATAACTTTGAATTTGAAACTATAAGCTATATATTTTTATAACCTTTTCGCGTAATAAAGGTTCTTGTCGTTTGACAAGAATTTCTTTTTGAAGCAAATGTCACAGACCCCATAAAGTATATATATTCTTGATCAGTTTATTTAGCTATATGCGTCTTTTTTTTTCAGTTCAATTTATTTCTCAATTTGAGTAATTTGGGAGTAAAACTTGCTCATTTGTCAGATTAACAGAAATCGAAGTACTATATCCTATAACTGCCATTTAAAATAAATGACAACAGATACGATTATAAATAAAAAAATTTTTAATTAATTTATATATATTTAAATTTATAGATATAGTTGCTAAATGAACTTCAGATTCAGACAATTGCTTTTACCAAAAAAAAAATTTTTATTTTATGATGTATGTTATGTACCTCAAAGTTGGTACTTAAACATAATTTATACACAACAACCAGTATCCTAAAAGTCAGCTTGATCAGTATATATTTAAATATAGCTCATAAATTTAGAAACATGTTTGAAAGTTTCTCTCTTTCTTGTCTTTCTTCAAGAAACCTTTCATCTTCAAATAATTTTTGTTAAGTAATCTGCAATAAATTTAATATAATAAAAATCTATATCATGTGGAGTTAACGATTATATGCAAATATTTAAAGTAGAACAAAGATATGACCAGATGCGACTTGTTAACTACGTCGACCAAGCGGTAGTTATCACTTACAACAGGAAAGAGGTGCATATAAATGTATATCTGTATATATGTGTGTATACTCGTTTATATAAATTATATACGATCTTTATTTTATACATATTATATATCTCTATTTCTTATATACCAACGTTTTTCTCAATTTATTCTAATCCACAAATTAGCGTTTTTCTTTTGCAAGAGGCTTAAATAAATTATCCATAATTTAATAAAAAATCCATTCTCGACTCAATACAAGCTTTGAGATATCATATGTAGTATTATTTTATACCGAGAAAAAAGAATATATTAACAAAATACTTTTATAAATATCGGCTTACTATTTAGTAATCTAGTATTATACCATCTGATAGTTAATACTTTATGAACTCTGTGAAGAAACCTGAACCATGGGTCTTGTATCCTTGTTCAAAAGATTCTGTTTTAGAACTTCATTCTATTCGTTTTCTGATGTTTCGGTTATTAATTTCATTCACGTTATTCCGAAATAGAATTGGTTAATATATTATAGAAACGATGGAGAAACCTAATTTAGATATCATAGATATTATATTTAGTTTTCAACAAAACAAAAAAGCATTTGCATTTGAAATTCGATAGCTACACCTGTATCTTCAAATCATACTATTAAATGTAAATCCTATTAAGCATTAAATTTATTATATGGAATAAGTTTATGAGTTTGTTAAATTCAGGTTAATATATAAATATTTTCTGCCTTGAACTTGTGTCTAGAAACAAAGAATTTTATTTGCATACGTATTTGCATTTGAATAATTTATTGCAAAACATTTTCAAAAGATAGACTTAATAAGCTAAAAGGTGTGCAAATTTTGAGACAATATTAATATAATGTATGCAAAATAAGTCAGAAATTTTTAAACAAGTTCAATAAACTTCAGAGTTTTGTTTTTTAGCATATCTAAAAAAAAATTTTCTAGATTTAACAAAAATCTACATTTACTTCTAAATGTATATATTTGTTACTTTTTAAATACTTTTTGCATGACGATATTTATGGCACCTTATAAGTTAATATGTGTTAAATTATTATATGATTATGATAGGTAAAAATGAATAACTTTATTTTACTTATTATTTAAAGATTTTCTTTGTTTTGAGAAAAAAGACAAGTCAAGTCACAACGCTTCATGTAATTCATCATGGTTGCATGCCTATGTCGGTATGGTTTGGCGTTAAATTCACACCAGGTAAAATAACACTATTAACAAACACTATAATCCTTAATTGATTACACTATAATAATAATCTTTTAATTAAACGCTTAAGGTGGTCATAGTACATTCTTTGGTCTGCTTAATACATTTGTACACATTGTTATGTACACGTACTATATGTTCTCGGCCATGGGACCACAATATCAGAAATATTTGTGGTGGAAAAAGTATTTGACCACTTTCCAAATGGTAAGTATATAAAATAGATTTTAATTTATATATGCAATAAAAAATATAATTTAAATTTATTTTCTCTAGGTTCAATTTATTTTGATTATGGTACACGCCTTCCAATTGCTTTTTATCGATTGCAATTATCCAAAGGCTTTCGTCTGGTGGATCGGTATGCATGCAGTTATGTTCTTCTTCCTATTTAATGAATTCTATAAGGCAGCTTACAAGGGTCGTCGCACGGTATGTATCACGTAACACGTCATATGTATGCTGTCATCTTATGTTGTTTCTGTTATTCGTTGTTATATTTATCTGTCATTATATAAAATTAATTTTAACAATTTTTTTTTAAGTTATTCGTTATTAAAATAAAACTAATAATAATTATTAGAATCCTAACAAATTAGAGGAGTATATCTCTATGCTTAGTAGATTTTTACAAATTGTATTACTATTGCCATACGACAATTAAAGTCGGAACTTAAAAAATAGCATTTACTTCCATATTTGCTTACTTAAATGGCCACAAGAAGCCGTTACCGCAGAATGTCTTTTGAAGCGCCTCTACTGCATTCGTATCTTTGTAGACTCGTAATCTAACGCGGCTAGTGTTTCCTCAACTTGATCATTCCAAGGGGTAAACCTTTACACTTTCTTCCTCCAACTTTCCCTCCGAGCGCCTTTTTCGATGGAGCGTAGGCTTTGTTTATCGAAAGAGAGCTCTACATCCTAATTACCTACTGAGCATCTATTGACAATGGTGATTCTTCGTCTGATTTTTAGGTTGACATCATTGTTGTTTGTTACGGCGTTGTCAAGATAGATGAAATCCGTGTGAGTTTTGAAAGTACAGTCGCCAAATACCAGCTCGGCGTCCAAGCGACAAACATTTCTACCAATATCCGACATATACTTAGATTTGCCCTTATTCGCCGCTAAGCCCATTTTCGCATATTCCTTTTCGATAGCAACAAAGGTAGCTATTTATCATTACAACATTTATTTACTAAATGTTAATTTAATTTTCAGATTTTATCTTATTCTATTCTTTCCCCACATAATATATTTATTTGAGCTGAGTTCGTAAGCGCAGGCTTATTGTTTTTGTATTCATACAACCGCAAAAACTACATTAAAAAAACAATATATTTACAAAAGCAACGATGTTATTTTTTGTGTGCTAAAAATATTGTTTATACGTACAAAATTGATTATAGAGCGGGTAGTGCGATATATAAATTGCGATTCCAGGAGCAGTTGTATTGTTAAAGCCCGCAGGGATCTTATATGCGTTGCAAGTAAATTATTGTAATTTTTTTAAACTAAATACGGATTTTTAAGATAAGTATTTGTGTGAAAGGTACATTTATAAAAAAAAGGGTCCATTTAGAAATCAGAACATTTTGTATGTCTGATTTAGTTACTTTAGTAATTAATGTCGAGAGGTTTTTGATTATAAAGGCTTAATAATTGGTAATTCATACCTTATAGGATTGTTATCCATACGTCCATTCAGTTCTTACCTATGATTAATATAATTTCTTACGTAAAACCTACTGATGATTGATAAATTAAATATTTGTTTATCAGATTCTAATGAAATTCCCATTTCTATTTTGTATGACTGCAAACTAGAAAATTTCACATGTTTTTTTCACGACCTTACGTGATTCAGTATTCTTAAAATACCTTTTCTAGCAAACTCAACGTAGGTGAAATGTGCTTCATCATATAATGTTCACGTCAATTGAAAACTTGTATTTACTATTGCAATTTAAATGCTTAAAATATTACAAAAAAAAAATATTTTTGTTTGCATATTAATAATACTAATAGATTGCAAACAGCCTTCAAAAATGCTTCCAGCCATATTTTAACAACCACAAAACAACAAATTATCGCCAAAGCAAACAAATCGACACATTGCGTCAAGAAATCTTGTAATCTCAATTGAAAACAAAAGATACCAGATACCAGATACCAAAATCGAAATCAAAAAAAAATAAATTAAAGCTAAAATATTTAAGCCACGAAATTCCCACGTTGTGACAAGAAAAAATAAAACAAAAAAGACATCACTTTTGGCGCTCACCAATAAAACAATGGGAACAACGTCAGTCACACTCTTAGTCACTTTCATTGTTCAACCTTCTGTCACTCGTTGTTCATTTCGTCCCATCCGTCCATGATAATGAAAATAAGTTTATGAAATGAGTTTACCCACCTAACGACAGATAGCCACTAAAAAAAATTCTCAACCAAACCACAACAACAACAATGACAATAACACCATTGTTTATTGCATATTTAATTGCCAAAAAGTTGAGAGCATCTTATGTCATCGATATGAGCCATTTTTTATGCTGACTTGTTGATAAGCCCCACTCTTCAAACATAACAAATAAAGTAAATATATTAATGATTACCTGCCTGTCTGCCTACCGCACTGCTGTGCAACACCCAAAGCTACCAACAACAACACTGCAATAACCCAGAAAGCTCATGTAATTCGTTGGATTATTGCACACTTTTATTTCATTTTATTAAAAAATAATTTTTTTTCTTCTGTGAACCAAATTCATTAACGTGATTTCGCCATAGTCTCCCTGCCCGCGCAACATTCATGCGGTATTAAGGTAACTAGGTGAGTCTTCTCAAGCAATAAATGCTCGTGTGTGTGGTTATGTTCAACTAACATAAACACAGTTTTAACTTACCAATAGTACATTTGTCTGTCTATTCATTTGTTCGCCTGTCTATTAAAGCAGGACCGGCGCATGCGCGCAGCGCTCATTGTGTTAAGCGAGTGCATTAACACAAAAACAAATTAAATAAATAAAAAAATAAAATAGAAAACCAAAAAAAAGGTAATATAAGACAAGTGAAAGTTACTTCATACTTCATCTGTGGCTTTATTGAATATTACATCATTTCACTCGGAAAGCTATCAAATCAAATCTGCGCAGCATACTCTTCAGCAGCTTTCCTCATATCACTCAGTGATTTATACCGTTTTTTTTTATCAAATTAAAATTAATATAAAAAAACTCCACAAAACTTGCGCACACTTCTATTTGAGCACAAAGCGGCCTTTTATTAAGAGAAGCGGCTGCTTATTTAAGAGAAGCACATTTTGAGAGTTTCCAATTTATATTTAACTGTTTTTTTGTGAAATATTTTTTTGCGAATCATCTTCAACAATTCCTCTAGCTTTTATCAGCGGAAATGACTAAAATATTTCAAATATTTTAGAAGTTAAGTAATTTATTTTTAATTAATTTAATTAAACTAAGTAATTCATTAAAAAAAATGTACTACTATATTTCACTATTGCAGAGAAACAATCAAAACTTTAATAACTTTTCCAAAAATGATTTTATTTCAAATAATTTATTTATAATATTTTTAACCTGTCAAAGACCAATATATCTAACAAATGTCATTTTCAACCAGTAGGTATTGAACCTTTCTTTAAGGTTGAAACAACAACCTTTCTAGCCGTAACTATTTTATTTAAGCCGCGAAATTTTATAAGCTCTCCATGCAGATGCAGTATCCTCTACGAAACTATTATTGTACTGCAACAAAATTCTTAATAGGCCCCCGCCCAGGTAGAATGATAATACCTCCCAGGTAGAATGATACTTTTCTCGTGCAGAAAGATCTGCTTTAACTTAATTGAGATCAGGATATGATCATATGCTAAACAGTTATTCTTCACGCATATATGTATCAATTCTAAATATGTGCTCCAACTACAATTTTACCCCCTACAATGTTGCTGATCTGTTTTCATACGCCAACAATTACACAAAGTAGAAGCTAATTGATCTTTGAACCCTCCCACAGAATTGACTAGGCTTCTCCGCCTTCATTTTGGTTGACTTTAAATTAAATCTCATTCGTCCTCTAATCCAATCTCACTTTTAAAAGGTCCACTCCTCTTTGACTCCTCTTTCTTTTCGAGCAGCATATTTTGTCCGATCAACATATTTTGTGATTTACTATAATATCCATATAATATCCAATGTTACCATTTCTTTTATTTTTTTTTATTTTATTAACAGCATAATATATTAAAATTTTATTTATAACCAAAAAATATTTAATTAATAATTGTATTTCTTTTTATGTAATAATTATTGCCTGGCTTAATATGCATCAATCAATAAATCAATATGTGCAACGTTGAAACTATTTTTATATAACAAACTATGCATACACAACAACAAATATTGATAATTCAATTAATCAATCAATTCTTCAATTCAATTGAATAATCCACAAATCAATGCTTTCATTACCAATCAAACGCATCCGCATTTTCCTGCTTCACATGTTTTTCCATACGTCACCTTTGTGTTGTTATTATGTCTTGCACCTGTGCTGTGGTGACGATCATCGTTCGTTTTATGCTTTTGTGTGTGTTATTACACGAAAAAATTAAAGGAATACAAGAACTTCTTCATGTTCCTCTTGCAGCGTCGTGAAAAAGGCTGTGATAGCGATAGCAAGCCAATTAAATCGAATGGTTATGGACCCCTGAATGGTATGTGCATGATTATTGATGATCAACAAGCACAGCAAACAAGCACAGCCAATGGTCATGCTAATGGACATGCAAATGGCAAAGTCAATGGCTTAAAGAATGGCTACAAACAGGCAAATGGCAACTCTACCAATATGAATGGTAGCGCATACAAAAATGGCAGCACGGTGGCGAATGGACACAACACAAGCAACGGCAGCTCTAAACTACGCGGCGAATTACCTGCAACACTAACGCAGCGAAAAATACAAAAATAATATTACGCCGCTGCTACAAAAAAATCTAGGAAATAAATTTATATAAAAAATTATGCTATAAATTTTTCTATTATAATTTTATATACAATTCAAAAGAAAAACAAAGTTTTTGTAAAAGTTCAAGCAAGCAGCAATCATTTACAACTAAGTCTGTATATGTTTGCCTAAGGACAGCAATCAGAAGAAAATAAAAACAATAAAAAATTTGTATAGTTTTATTATTTAAAAGAACTTTTTTTTTGTTAATATTTCTTTTAACACAATTTATTCTTTATATAAAAAAAATTAAATTATTATTATTGTTTTTAAGCTGTCGCCACACTCTTTTGTATTTTTCTGTTCATCAATGTGTACAAAACTTAAATTTTATATTTAAAAAAATACAAGTAAATATAATTTATTTAAAAAAAAAATTATAAAATTATGAGAAACTTCTAGGTTAAAAAAATATATTTACATATATATGTAATAATTTTAGCAATTGTATAGAAAGAATTATATTTAAGTAAAAGCAATCCTAGTTACAGCCGCAAAGTTAGTCAAAGCTAATAAAAATATTTAAATAATTTTACATAAAAAGAAAATTATAAAATGTTTAACTTAAACTCTAAAATAATTAAATTAGTTTTAATTATTACAAAAAAAATATGCATTGAAAACTTGTTATTATATAAGTAAATACACCGATTCACTCATAAAGATCATACAAAATTATATATGTAAAATATAAATACATTGCAAATTTTAATTAAAAGAAAGAAAAAAACATTTTTATTAAAAATATAAAATAAAATCGTAAGCATAATTTGTCTCCAGATTTTGCACGTAAGAATCCGTGTTGTATTATAAAAAAAATCATGCATTGAAAATACAAATAAACCAAAAAATATACGCATTCAAAGAACATTTTCAAATACAAAGCAAAGCATTTTTTCATTAATTTATTAAAATTAAATATTGCAACAAATTATTATGAGAACGAATCAATATTAGATACAATTAAATTTAAAAGTAAAAGAACAATCCAAATATAAAATATTCATTATTGTATGTACTTTTAGGTAAAATCGGTATATATAATATAAACTAATTAATACAATTTAACAGTAAAGTAACTACTTTTAGTCATAAGTTCTAGGTATACAAATTTTGTATGCAGAGAAAGCCATTTTGGAACAGTTATCTTATAAATTTTATTATGTTTAAAATGATATACAAAACAAAAAAAAAACAAAAAATTATAAGGGCGAAAATGTGGAGTGGAATGTTTTTTTTTCAATAAATAACAAAAACGAAATTGTAAATATAATTTTTTTTATTTATTTCTATACGTTACGAAGGTAAGAATTTTAAAAAATGGTAAATAATGATAAAAGTTGTTGTTTTATTTAAAAATTGATTTTATTTAAAACGATTAATATTGTTGTTATTGAAAACGATTATTAATGTTTTTATTAAAAACGATTAATATTGTTTTTATTAAAAACGATTAGTTTTGTTTTTATTGAAAACGATTAATATTTTTTTTATAAAAATGATCAATATTATTGTTTAATTTTCTAGTATTAATATTGTTATTTGCACTAAAATGTAGGTCCTTTAAGAAAATGGAAAACAAATGTTTAACTGTTTTTAATCAAGAAAACTTAAATAGAAATAAATTATTTAAAAAATCTTTTATAATTCAAATTAAAGTAGGGACTAGAATTTAAATGAGCCTCACCTCTTGTGGTCCGGATGCTACTATGACCTAAACATAACGTAAAATAACTGGCCCCAAAATTGAAGCACATGGGCCAGAAATTGTTTTGAAACACCAGGATTAATGTTTAAATTAACTGCAATATACTGCAATATAATAATAATATTAAAAAAATGTCTTTTCTTTTGTAAGCATATCACAAAAGAACAACTGCTTATTTTAAAAATAACATATGAAACAATAACACTGCTGGCTAAACTAATAAGCAGTTCAAATCGCATGGTTGCCAAGACTAAAAATTCATCTATTGTGAAAGATATTCGTATTTCGTGTTGTCATTGTTTGTAACAAAAACGTTAGTTTTTCTATTTATTATTTTACTATTAAAAGGCATGAAAATTCATATTTTATTTACAATCATGTAATAAAAAATATTCTTACTAATAATTACAAAGAATTATTATTCATTTTCGATATTTTAAATTTTATTACATATTTTACATATATAAGCCTAACAAAATTTCCATTTAGTCCAGAGTTGCCATCGCAAGTAATGCTTATATCATTTGTTCTTTTGCGACATGCTTACAAAAGAAAAGGCCTAATGATGAAATTGTTAAATCTAAAAATTTAATTTTAAATTTACGTATGAGGAGTTGTTGAATTTTTAATATTTGGGGGCCAGGACTTCTTCATAAATACCAGCATAAAAATAAATTTATTGGGAGAAAATTTTTCAATTCAAAAATGTAGTTTTTAATCATTTTTTAATATTTGGACTAATCATCAGTCGATGTCTTCAGAAGCTATATAATGCTCAATAATATCGTCATCTGTATACAAGCTTGATATACAAATTTCATTGTCAAGCTCAATATAATCGTTAAGAGTAGCATCGGAAGTTATTTTATTTACTTTAAACCACGTTGCCAGCGACTGGCTTTTGAACAAAGAAGCAACATGAGAAAGAAAAAATTAAACACTTGGTTTGGAAAAAGCGACTTCCCTTAACAGCAAAATAGATTCATACTTAAAACAAAAATTCGATTTATAGAATGCACTTTCTCATATTCCTATTGGCACAGAATAAAATTTTAATTCGAGTTATAGAAGTTCGAGTTATGGAAGCAGAATTGTATGTAATTTGCTCTCTTGGTGCACTGTTTTTGGTTCCAGTTATGGAAGTTTGACTGTATATTAAATTTTTAAATACAATTAGTTTAGACTAATTGTATAGCACTATAGTTTGATTCTTCAGATATTTAAAGTTGTAAATTAATGATAATTAATAACATATCCAAAGTATAGTCTAACGCCACTTTTTTATATTGATCAAATTTTTATACTGATTATACAAGATCAGATATGTTAAGACATAAATTTAATCTACATATAGCTAAATGCAAAAAGTCTTACAGAATAGATGATTTTACAAAAATCGATCACTAAATCCCAATATTAAGGAAATTGTAAATGTGTAATCGAATTCAATAGTTCAATTATAAAGGATCAATTTTGGTATTAGGTTTTTATACAAGTGTAGACAATTCTCTAGGAGGTCCCTTAGACAACAAACAGATTAAGAATATGGCAAGCAATAAATTAATGATTATTATTTAGATCAATCGATATGTAAGACTTTTCCACATTATTGAGGTAGATCTAAGGGTCAATTATCCGGAATACAGGAGTGATTAGGTATGTATGCCTTAGATACATGCAATCGACAACAAATTGCTTTCACATTTTCCAGTACAACATAAGAGCACCGAGAAACCATACGGTCTACAACAGTAACAATATCAACTATTGAAGTTTATATGAAGAGAATAAAATTATATTTTGTATACTATATATATTTATATTTATGTATACTATTATATTTTATATACTTAATAATTGGCTCTATCTCAGTAATGTGATTCATTTATATAGTTGGTTTAAAGTTTGTTCATATATTCGCCTTTGTAGAAGAAATCGCCACAGTAGAAGAAATCGCCTGGAAACCTGCTAGTACTTCTCTGCAGCCTAGAACTTGTATATGTGCAATTGAAGCGCTTGCACGCAATGTAAAGTTGCCATTATAGAACTGTTTACCGTGATTGCTGATGAGTCTACTAATTATTCCATGAATAACAATATAGACAGCAAATAGACTGTCTATTAATTGCAGCTGAAGCGCTTTCCAAATATTATTTTATCTTTATTTTTTCATATTTGTAATTTATTATATATATTTATGTTATATTTTATATATATATATTTATATTATATTTCTTTTTATTTATATATTGCTGCTAACCGAGCATTCATGAAATAACTATTTTATTAATATTTTATGTATCCAATGAGATTTTTTAAAAAAATATAAATAAACTATTTTCTGTCCCATCATTTCTTTTTCTAATTCTCACATATAACGTCCCCTATTAAATAATTTGCCAATTTAGTTTGAAATTAAAATACAGTTCACATATTTAACAAAACGATATTAAATATTTAAGAACATTAAATTTATTTTATACAATTATTAATTTATTAATAATTATTAATTATTCAGTACTATACGAGTAAACTCATAATATTTTAGAAAATCATTAGTTAACATAATTTTCTTCTCACTCTCGTTTTATTTTAAATTTTTCTAACAATAAAGATTAAATTAAATCAAAACTGAAAGGATAGCGTTATATTGAACTTGTAAAAAATATTCAAATTAAAATAAAAAACCATAATCACAGCGTCAATGACCGCTAAATTCATTTTTACTTGCATTTCAAAATTTATGCAATCAAAACTAACTACTAAAGAATTAGGAATTATCGATAAAGTTTGACTATTATATTGATCACCATATCGATAGACTTATAATAATAATATATATAGCGCTCAGTACTTGTGCAGTATTATTTATATACAATTTATATATAATATACGCACTTTAAATTAAATTCTTAATAGTCTTTTGTGTTAAAATGACTTGAGCTAAGATAACGAGTATAACATATTAAAAGCTTAGTAAAATTTAATTATCGTTGTTTTGTGGCTTCTTTAAATAAAATTCCAACATATTATCAAGATCAGTTATGTAAGATTTGGGTTTCCTTAAATCTGATTCCAGCACACGTAAATTGCATGTGTAATCTTGAATATTCTTTAAATTTGTACTTAATTCATTTGCAATCTTTTTTGCCCGGCAAGCTAAATCGTCTGTAACTTTCTTAGTTTGTTGTACTTTACTAACGGTTTTATATTCGATTAATTCACCGTAATCCAATATATCCCATACGCCAGTTTCCATATTCCATGAAAAAAGTATACGACACTCATATTTATGTCGATGATAAATGCAATCTAATTTCCTAGAGCAATTAAAACAGTTTGTGCTTGAACATGGAAGCTGGTCTGTTGCAGCGAATTGAGCCATTAGCACACAAATAATAGTATGACTTAGTGGACAAACCTAAATTCAAAATAAAAGTTTACATTAGTGATTATAAATGATAGTAAGTCAGTACATACGTTAATTATTTCATAGGCCCAGTCATAAAATACATCGTAGGTCTTTTGATTCTTTTGACAAAGTGTACTAATCACATAATATGAAAATGCTTCCAAGTCAAAGGAGTGTTGAGTAATGACCACACTAGCGCAACAAAGCTGCTGATAAGTGGTTTGAGATATCATCTGCATTTCGGAATAACAGGATCCGTGTACTTCTACTGGCAATGAAGTATGATAACCAGGAGAAATACAATCATCTAAATAGATAATTTTTAATGATGCAAATATATAAAAAAAGCGGTATTTTACCTTCTTCACTTGTTATAACTGAAGCAGCATCGTCTTCCTCGACATAGCGTCTTTTAAATTTCTTAGTGCAAACTGGCTTTTCTGGCATAGAACTGCCTTGCAAAGGAATTTCCACAACGCGATATTCTTCGCGTCGTGGTGAAAGAAATGGTACGCTACTGTTTGGAGACATAGAGCCGCTTAGATCCATGTAATTGCGTTTCGTCATTGACACTTGCAATGGCGAAAGTGTACCTAATGGTTTGAAACTAAGCATTTGTTGCGTAGCTTGCGAAAGTGAGTGTGGTGGTGGTAAATGGCTGCTTGGTGAGCGCATAATACTACCACTTACCGGAGAACTACATGGAGGTGAACGAAAACCTTGTTGTAAAGATATTGGAGATGCTCTGTGCAAAGGAGGAGGAGTACAACGTCGTGTCTCGAAACTGGATGATGGTCTCGGCGATGATGATGGAGAGGCGCACGGAGATGTATGAAAATGATAGTTTGTGGGTGAAGGACGGTGATATGAATTGCGACTATTGCTGGTGCTTGACAAAGCACCACTTAAAGGTGCACTATAAGATTTACTTGCTGAACGCATTTTAGTAAATGGAATTATGTTTTCGGAATTGTCTTCAGAAAACTCATATTTTTTATCAGCCAAACGTCGTTTACGTAATATAGCAATTTTTTCACAAAACTCATTATCTTCAGAGAATTCATATGCATTGGATTTATCAGCAGAAGTAGTGGACGTTGATGTAACTGCCTAGTTAGGAATTGATTTAATTGTTAATTGAGCTTAATTATTATATTATTATTATACTTACTTGCATATCGACTGTTATAACACCATTACGATAAGACTTCGTAACAATTCGATGATTGCGCCTACCACTAGGTTTGACTAAGTTAACTTTTGTTGGCATCAAACTCTTGGGGCTCGATGTAGTATTGATACTACTCGTTACAGCCACACTACCAGAAGTTGAAGTGGAACTGCCACTACATGTAAATAGAATTTCATCGTAAGATTTATGTGAAGTATTTGAATTGTTTCCCTCCATTATTCTCGTGTTGCGTTGTTGTAAATCGTTATTGTTACGACTACCCGTTGAATGTGTAGAATCTGTTTCTACATCGCTAAAATCGGCAGTAATACTATCCAGAATATTATGTTGATTGTCACAGCCAATTATTTCATCTGAGGAATGGACGGAATGCCGGTCTGAGTTAGACTGAAGTTCATGCGATAAACACACTTTTTGTGCTACTGAAGGCAAAGAAATAGTGTTCAGACACTGTATTGATAACTGATTCGTATTGGCTGGAGGAGAGTCCTCCAAAGCAATATGTAACATATGTATAAATCCATTAGCTAAAATTAATATACGCCCAGGGCAAATCAAATTTGTGTAAGAATCAAATTTTCGATCAGATTCTGTGATTGAGTATTTCGTGTGTACGGTTAGATTACACTTTAAACATAAAGCATAACGTTTAAAAGCTGTTAAACAAAATTGTATTAAATAATTAATACAAAATTAACAATATTCTTACAGTTGCAACTTACCGCCTTCATCAAATTCTCGCAATTTTTTACAATCTAAACAGCCAAGTTTAGGAACTTTAACGTATGTAATATAAGACTCTTCATTTTCAGCTTCTGCAGCACCATGCACAATTAGCACGCGCGGTTCGCTACATTTCCACTGCGTCATGGTCACCTTTTTTATACTGTCGACTCCTCGATTGTTGAAAAGACAACATTTATAAAAAGTACGGATTGGTTGGTGTGGTTGATATATCCAAAAATATAATCTATTAAAAATGAAACAATTTAAACCATTTTGTTTTAAATTTAACTGAATTTAAGAAACGTAATATTTACGTGTATTTATAATTCAAATTGAAACTGTAAGGATGAGTAGCATTCTCTTTTATGAGAACCTTATAACTCAGCAGAAAGTTTCCACACGAACTTAGACCCATAAATACATGTCTGTTGGAATTACAAATATTATATGTTTTTAGAATATTTTTTTAGTATTATACCCTTGCACGAAACCATGTGGCACAACGTCCTTGAGGCAAAATCTTAACCTATTTGGCACTTCATTGTAAGGTGGTACTTGGGGGGTAGTTCTACTGTACTGAAAGTTAAAAATAGTAAAACATAGGATTTAATTAAAAATTAAATATTTATTGCAACGGTTTGCTGTTGTTGTAGTAATTAATTGGGTTACTAAATAAGTTTAAAATTAAACTCACTTCTCGATTTCTGAGCATAACACATAGATTTTGCTGTCGCTGTTGTGATCCCTCAGTATTGAATTTCAGTTCAGAGTGGGTACTTAAGTCTGAATCTGAGCAACTATCAGTTGCAGTAGTAAAACTTTCATCGTCATCTTCCGACGAGGAGGCCGATATTGATTGCGTATAGTCATTTGTACTAAGATTAGCGTCCATGACTAAATACAAAAAAAGTTATTAAACAAAAAATAATTAACTAATTTAAACAATATGTAAATGGTTTTTGCTTAATGAAAGACAACTTAAACAAAAAAACTTATAGCATTTTATAATAAAATCTCTGCATCAGATTCACTTACAGCAGCTTAGCTCCCCAAACTATCTACAACAGCCGAAAAATTTCAAAGCAGTAAGATAGAGCGGTGTTCACCAACTCGTGCACATTTGTTAGAGAAAGATGGAATGAGCAACAATATCGTATTTGACAGGTAGTAAAAATATGAAAAGAAAAGCAATATAAACAATCTGTAAATAAATGGAAGTAAAGAAGAGATGCACTAACAATTTTTGACATTTGATTATT